AGAGTAAAGTAGGCACGCGGGGACTTAGTGCCCTCTCTTTCCACACTTTTCTGGCTCTTGGTCACTCCTAGTGGTGGATGCTGGAACCACCACTCTAGTAAGCAAGGTTTTGCAGAAGAAATTGGAGCAGAAGTTGGAGCTTGGGGCCTGCCTCTCTCACAGGTTCATTTGCTGGGCTGGGCTGGGGTGGGCAGTAGGAAAGGGAAAGAAAATGACAGGATGTTTCTCTGGCCGGGTCCTCTTAGCTACTCTAGAAATGGTTCAAGGTTGAGAAGGAGGGAGATACCTAAAACTTGAGGGGAGGGGCAACATGCTGGAGCGGTAGGTAGAGGAGGAAATGCCGCCTTGGGTGGGAAATCAGAATCTCAGGGAATTATAAACAGAGAAGGTGGTGGAGGAAAAGGAAGAGCAGGAAAAGAAAAAAGAAGAGGGGAGTGGGAGTTTAGCCTAGAAAAAAAGGGACAGACAGGAAGGCGAGCTCAAGGTGACCTCGGCAGGTGTGAGCTGCCTCCTTGCTCTCTTCAGGGGGTGGAGAGGCGTCCTTCCTCTGTTAAGGAGCATCTGGGCAGTGCTCTGAGCCTCTGCCTTTTTGGGCGATCTTGCACAAGTGTCCTGGCCCCTCTCGGCCTCAGTTTACTTGTCTGTAAAATAGGTATGGCCACACCCACCTAAGGCAGGGAAGTCACAGAGGGGATCCCAGGAGATGTTACTGTTTATTTGATCCACCGAGTGCCAGGCCCTCTGAGGACACAGAAGCCTGATGCCTTTATTGTCCAAGAGCCTACTCTGGTTCAGGGGGAAGATCTAGGACAAGGACACCCGTCAGCTGAGAATTATGGTGAAAAATGGTAAGAGTCAAGAGAACTAGAATGGATGAAGAGTTAAGAGGCAATATGATTCCCTCTGGGAGGAAACAAGGGAAGGGTTTCCAGAGCAGGCGGCTTTGAAGCCGAGCTCTTCCAGACACATGGAATTCAGGCTTGCATGTGCGGAGGAGGGGAGGGCGTTTCAGCCAGAGGGAACGGGGTAAGCAAAGGCGGGTCGGTGCTGGGGAGCGTCTGGCTGGGTTTCCCCATGTGTATAAAGGGGTAAGGCTGGAAAACTAGATTGAGGAGAGACCTCTGAGGGTGCTGGGGCTCTGAGGCCTGAATGGGGGTAGCTAGAGATTCCCAAAAGCGTCTATTCTGGGTTCTCCTGAAAGTTTTACCAAGAAGAAATATTCTAAATTATAGCAGCACCTTGTTCTCCACCTCCCAGTTCAAAAGCAGTGAGGTCTAGCACCCCACCTTCCCTATGAGCAGAACTGTGCTAGGAATAAATACTATTTTTTTTTCTTTTTTTCTTTTTTTTTGTCTTTTTGAGACAGGATCTTGCTTTGCAGTGCAGGCTGGCCTCGAGCTCACTTTGTAGCCCAGGCCGGTCTCAAACTCACCCTTGATCCTCCTGCCTCAGCCTCCCGAGTGCTGGGATTACAGGAGTGTGTAATCTCCACGTCCGGCTTTGAGTAAATACCTTTCGTCCAGTTGCTCCCAGCACATGAGGAAAGGGTACTTGGAGGTCACGCCCCCCCATTATACACATAGGGATTCTGAGGCTAAGAGAAGCAAAACAGTCTTCCCAAGGGCACTGGTGAGTGGGCGCCCGGTTACCAGTCCCTCAGTGTCCCAGAGCCCTCCGTTGGTTCTGGGACCTCTGCTCAGTCTAGGCTCACCCGCCACCACCTGCTCAAGCCATGGGCCTCTGCCACTTTGTTCTCCAGCTGCTGCCCCCTCTTCCACCCTAGGGCTCCCCCGAGAGCCATACTGGGGCCAGTTACACCAACCTGCTCTAGGCGGGAGTGGCCAGTTTTGAGCAGCAAGAGGATGTGCACCTTTGTGCGGGTTTGCCTGACTCTGTCCACCCGTCCTGCCGTGAAGTATTTATTGGCGTGCCCTGGGGAAACGCCTTTGATTGGAAAAGACCCAATTCCTTGAGCAGACAGGATTAGTAAGAGCAGGAAACAAATGTAAAACAAAAATCAAGACTGAACACAGGAGGCCCCCGATGAAAGCAGAGGCTGGGTTGCCAAGCTGTGCCAACATGCCACTTGCCCGCAGGACAGCACCTGGATGTCCTACAGCAGTGATGGCGAACTTTTTATTTTATTTATTTATTTATTTTTTGTCTTTTTGGGACAGGGTCTCACTGTGCAGTTTAGGCTGGCCATGAGCTCGCTGTAGCCCAGGCAGGCCTTGAACTCGCAACGATCCTCCTGCCTCAGCCTCCTGAGTGCTGGGATTACAGGCATGCGCCACCACGCCCAGCTTTATTTTATTTTTCGTGGGTTTTTTTGGGGGGGATTGTTTTTTTAGATGGGTTTTAGTTTTTGTTTTTGGTGTTGAGGACTGAACCCAGGGTTTCCAGCTTGCTAGGCAAGCGTTCTACCACCGAAGTAAACCCCCAACCCCTTTATTTTATTTTTTGAGACAGGGTCTCACTGCGTAGTTTTGGCTGGCCTTGAACTCACCATGTAGTCCAGGCTGGTCTTGAATTCACAGTGATCTTCCTGTCTCTGCCTCCCGAGTGCTGGGATTACAGGCCTGCACCACCATGCCCAGCAATGGTGAACTTTCTAGAGCTTTCTGTGATACAAACAGTGCACTGCAGCATGTGTGCCAAAGGTTCCCCACTGCCCCTGAGTCATCCTGGACTCAAACCACGTTCATTATCTTCCACCCCAACCTCCGCATCTTCTGTGTCCTCATTTCAGCAGATAGCAAAACTGTTCACCCAGTTACTCAAGCCAGAAGCCTAGGAGTTACTTGGGACCACTTTTTTTCACTCTCCTATTTTTCCATATCTAATCTTCATATGGCCTGGTTCAGTGTTGTTTTTTTGTACGTGTGCGGATGGTACTGGGCTTGAACCTAAGGGCTTCACACTGAGCTACATCCCCAGCCCCTTCTGTTATTTATTTTGGGACAGAGTCTTGCTAAATTGGGTAAGCTGGGCTAAAACTCATTATCCTCCTGCCTCAGCCTGTGCGGAGATTATGGCAATGTGCTACCACGCCCAGCTCCAATAGCTAATTTTCTGCTCTCATTTCATTTTGCAGCATACGAACCAGATATTCACTCATTCTGGAACTGTCCTGTCTTTTTGTGTGTGGGTCGGTGCCTATGTTTATGTGTGGGTGTGTATGCAAGTGTGTATCTGCTCTGGGGATTAAACTCAGTGTCTCTTCTGTGCTAAGCACTGAGTGAGACCCCCCAGCCGCTAGAATTCTTTTTATCTTTACAACAACCCATGTCTTCTTTGCCTTAAGCACTGATTGTTCCTAGAACTCAATGCCTTCCTCTTTTTATGGTGCTAGGGATGAAACTAGGGCCTTACACATTCCCATTGAGTCTTTTCTTTCTTTCTTTCTTTCTTTCTCTGTCTCTCTCTTCTCTTTTTGAGACAGGGTCTCGCTATGTAGTTTAGGCTGGCCTTGAGCTCACTTTGTAGCCCAGGCTGGCCTTGAATTTGCAAGGATCCTCCTGCCTCAGCCTGCCCAGTGCTGGGATTACATGCGTGTGCCAGCATGCCTTGCTTCTCTCTCCCTCTCTTCCTTCTTTTCTTCTTTCTTTCTTTTCTTTCTTTCTTTCTTTCTTTTTTTCTTTCTTTTTTTCTTTTCTTTTCTTTTTTTCTTCCTTTTTGAGACACTCATAGTATGTAGCTCAGGCAGGCCTGAAATTCTCAACAATCCTCTTGCCTCAGCCTCCTGAGTGCTGGGGATCATAAGTATGTGCCACTATGCCCAGCTTCCTTTAACTTTTATGCACCTTAACTGTTACTTTATGAGCCTGGAGGGGTAACACATGCTTGTAATCCCAGTACTGGGGAGGCTAAGGTAGGAGGACAGCCATGAGTTTAGGGTTAGCCTGGGCTACATTGTGAATTCAAGGCCAACCTGAGACTATACAGTGAGACCTTTCCACAAACAAACACACTTTTTCCAAGACAAGTAATAAAAATTCCAACTGTTTTTCCCCTGGTATTGGGAATTGAACCTTTTTGCTCTTGCTGCTTTTACTGTTTTCTACCGCCATGAACTGTTGCCCTCTGCCATGTGCCACTCTGCCTTGGAGCCAGCCAAGTATGGACTGAAACCTCCACAAACTGTGAGCTAAATAAACCTTTCCTTCCTTAATTCTGAGCATCAGGTATTTGGTCTCAGCAAGGAGAGAAAAGTAACCAAGACAGTAAGCAAGCCTGGGGTTCCCATGTGTGGTACCGGGGCTGTGAGAGAAAGCCGTGGGGTGGAGGGAGGGGCAGAGAACAACCTGTAAGAGGCCACATGTGGTCAGGTGTCCTACCTCGCCGGTAGGGAGGGCAATGTACAGATTCCTTTCTTTTTCTTCTTCTTCTTCTTTTTTTTTTTTGTACCGGGAATCGAACTCAGGGCCTTGCACTTGCCAGGCAGGTGCTGTGCCTCTGAGCTATAGCCCTGGCCCCTGATTCCTTTCTTAAGGACAAATTGGGGACCAACTATTTGTAACCACAGGAAACAGCTGGGCTAGGGAGCTAAAGTGGAACATACGTTTTGTTCTGTGTTGTTTTGCTTGTCTTTTTGAGACAGCATCTCGCTGTGTAGTTCAGACTGGACTTGAGCTCACTTTGTAGCCCAGGCTGGTCTCGAACTTGCAACGATCTTCCTGTCTCAGCCTCCTGAGTGCTGGGATTACACTGCCATTTCACTTTGATGCCATCTGCTGTCCAAAAGGGAAGTGATGTGCCGGCGCTCTCCTTGCCATCTGTTCCAGTCTCTTTTGCGAGTCACACTGGTACCTCTCCCTTTAAGAAGTTTGGCCTAGGAAGAAGAATGAAAAGGCAGAGAAGTACAAACACGCTTGAAGCTTGCTCAGATTGGTCCAGTTCGGGCAAGGGGCGGGATATAGCAAAACTCACGTAGGTGATTGGCCTTTCTACTCCCCGAGGCGATTCCTGTGAAGTCCCGCCTCCTGAAGTAACGGAGGACGTCCGTGATTGGTCAGATGCTCAGAGGCGGGCTCCGAGCGCAGCGCGTGTTCGGAGTGGGCGCAGATTGGGGCTCGCGCGGCGGCATGTCCCGCGATGGTGGGGCTGCGCGTGAGGACGCGAGGAGAGAGCCGGGTACCGCTGCCGCCGGCTCGTTCAGGTTCAGCCCGGAGCCCACGCTCGAGGACATGTAAGTAGTTCTCGTCCGGCCTGACGTGTTGTAGGGCGGAGATGGGCCCTTTCCTGTCCAGCTGGGGAGCGCCCCTCCGCGCGCCGGTCCCAGCCGCGCGGCGCCGTCCCGGGAGCCTCCCCCGGCGCCTTCCCGGCGCCTTCCCGGCGCAGCGGGCGAGCAGCGCACGTCCGAAGCCGGGGGAGTCGGGATGCCCCGCGAGCCGTGTTGGCACTTCCCTGCAGCCCAGCCCGGCAGATGCCCGAGCCCCATAGCGCGTCCGCCTAGACGAGGGCGCACTGCGGGCCCTGCCTGAGCCCCGCACCGCCTGTGGATTCGGACTTCCACCGGGATTGTTTCTGTTCCAGCCGACGCCTCCATGCAGAATTTGCTGCTGAACGGGACTGGGACCAGTTCCACCAGCCACGGAATCTCCTGCTGGCCTTGGTGGGGGAAGTGGGAGAGCTGGCGGAGCTCTTGTGAGTAGCGGGAAGGTGTTGCGGGGGAGGGGGCATTTATTTGGTCCTAAGACATTCTTGGATTTAACCTCCCTCCTCACCGCCCGGCTCTGTGCGTGGTGCAGAGGCGGCAGGGTTGATGCACAGCCGCTGGCCCGCCCGTGGGACGCCCAGTCTCGTGGGAGAGCACAGAAGGACAGGGCAGACGCAGGTTAATGAAGGAGTGATCTATAACCCGGCACTCTGGGAGGAGGAGCAAAAGTTTGAGCACAGCCTGTGCACAGACCCTGTCTGCAGAACAAAAAAGAAAGAAGAAAGAGCGATGGCAACCGCTCAGTTTTGGGGCTGAAAAGGTATTCTGTAAAAGACCTGCTTAGCATTCCAGACAGGGACTACTACATTTCCAAAGGTCATAAGGCAAGAAAGGGCAGCTTGAATGTAGGAAGAATCTAACATTCTTTCAGTATCCGCTTCCCAGGGATTTTGTGTGTGTTCTGTTCACTTGTGTATCCCAAGTGCCCTGCACATCATAGGTCGCACACATCTAAAAGACGACCAATAGGGCTGTGGAGGAGAGGGATAGGAGGTGGACCCGGAAAGACATGATGGGGACCGGAAATAAGAGTTTGGACAAATCCCCACCCTCAGGAGGAATCCCAGCACTCAGGAGGCTGAGGCAGGCGGATCGCTGTGAGTTCGAGGCCAGCCTGGGCTACAAAGTGAGCTCAAGGCCAGCCTGAACTGCATAGTGAGACCCTGTCTCAAAAAGACACACACAAAAAAAGTTTGGACAGAAGATGCAGCCAGATGTCAGTGGAAGAAAGATACCTGTGCCTGCAGGGGGCATCGCATCACTGACCCACGGGGGCAGGGGGACCTGAGGAGCGAGAGGCTGGTGTAGACCTGCAGTAGGTGGTAGGGCTCGACTGGGGCAGGCACTGTGGGGATGAAGAAGGGAGGCACAGCGATGTGGGTGAGGGCAGGCTGGACAGCCGCAGGTTAGTGAGCATTAGTGTGTGCCACGTTCTCTAGAATCGAGAGATAAGCCCTTGAATGGGGCGTATGTAGCCCACAGTGCAAGGAGACAGAGAAATAAAGAAAGTAATTTTAAAAGATCTGGAATTGGGACAGGTTTTATGAGGAAAAGAACAGGAAGGGATGAGAGGGAGAATAACAAAAGGAAGGCTTCCTGAGGGTAAGATCTGAGCCCTGATGTGACCCTGGGCGGAGAAGGGAGTAACAGGGCGGAGCGGGCCAGGGGCAGAACAAGGAGTCACCAGGGAAACCTCTGCATTCAGAGGGAGCGGGCGTGCAGAGGCCCTGTCATAGCTGGCCTGGTTGCAAGGCAGGAGAAGTCGCAGTGGCTGTAGGTGGGGGGAGAGATAGCAGTGACAGCAGGGACATGACCCTCACGGCTTCCACGCGGTCCGAGGCAGAGTTTGGTCTGCAGTAGCGGTGGCTTGGGCTGGAGCGAAGTGGAACTGGCTGCAAAGCTTCGCAACAGGACGTGTTCTCTTGGCCGCTCCTTAGCTCAGGCAGAGACCAAGGTCTAGCTGTGGGGTTTCTTCCTTGCCTGGCCTCTCCCTGAGGCCCACATGGCGTGGGTTGACCTCGGAGGAGCTTCCTGGGAGGCGGCATTCACTGCTCCGAGGGCCGAGGTGCTCCTGAGAGAGGTGGCACCTGCGGTCCTAGCTAGTAGCCCTGTGTGCCTTGTGTTCTCCCAGTCAGTGGAAATCTGATGCGGAGCCTGGCCCCCCAGCGTGGCCCCTGAAGGAACGGGCAGCCCTTCAAGAGGAGCTCAGCGATGTCCTCATCTACTTGGTGGCATTAGCAGCCCGCTGCCACGTGGATCTGCCCCAAGCAGTGCTCTCCAAAATGGACACCAACCGGCAGCGTTACCCCGTCCATCTGTCCCGCGGCTCTGCTCGAAAGTACACAGACTTGCCCCGCGGGACCATCTCTGAAGAGCAGGCTTCGGCGCCTGCAGACCTGGCCTGTGAACCCACAAGCCAGGGCACAACCCAGAACACGGGCCCACCGGCTGCAGCTCAGCACGGCAGCTGAAGACCACAGGGCGGCCCTGCTGTGGAACTTGTCTTAGTCCTTTCCTAACGGGTCTTGGGGCTGAGGGCCCCGCTTCCTGATGTCAGGGGCCCGAGAGCTTCCAGAAGATAGTTTCTCCCCCAATAAAAGTTATGGACAACAACTTCTGGATTCTTCCTGGGCGGCCAGGGGCCCCCTGTGGCAACAGGTGCCGCACAGGGTCCTCATACTTTGCTATTGGACCTCCTACCTGCAGGGAGAGCGCCAGTTCTAGCAAATTCCCGATGGGATCTCATCCACATCACTTACCCTTCTGGACCTGTAAAGGGGATTAGAGGCCGTCAGAGTCCAGGCTGAGGCTGGGGTGTACCTCAGGGGTAGAGGGCTTGCCCAGCATGCAGGGAGCTCTGGTTCAATTACTAATAAACAAAACAAAAGAAACACAGCCAGGTGTGGTGGTGCACCTCTGTAATCCCAGCACTTGGGAGGCTGAGGCAGGAGGATTGCTGGGAGTTCAAGGCCAGCCTGGGCTACAAAGTGAGCTCAAGGCCAGCCTGAACTGCATAGTGAGACCCTGTCTCAAAAAGAGAAAAAAAAAAAAACAAGCTCCAGATTCTACAGCCAGGCTGTCTGGGTTCAGATACTTTATATAAACTAGATGAGATATTCATTAGATTACTTCACTCCCTTCCTCTTTGCTTTCATCTTCTTGTGAAATGAAAATAGTAGTACCTGCCTGGAGAACGGTAAGGGTTAAGCTGTGAGCGTGCTCAGGGTGGTGCCTGGCACAGTGAGTGCTACATTAATCGTTACCGTTGGTTTGCCTTTTCAAATCAAAGCTTTGAGGGCCCAGGTTAAGAAATCAGGGTCACAACTCAGAGCCAAGTCTCTGATTTAGAGCAGAACAGGACTTGCTCTCCTCTTAGGCCCCTTGGTGAAAAAGAAAACCACCCCATTCCCCTCGCCTAGGTCAATTTCTTGTTGTAATTAAAAACAGTGTCAAGGTCGGCTATGGTGGCGCACACCTGTAATCCCAGCACTCAGGTGGCTGAGGCAGAAGGGTCGCCTCTGACTTTCCACAACAGACCCTCCAGAAAAGGATGTCTGCATTCACCCACTCTGCATCCTCATCCTCGGAGTGTACCCCACCCTGGCCCTCTGGTAGATGTGCTCGTCCACCTCCCTGTTCATGGCGCACAGAGGACACCAGGGCAGCACCTGGCAGCTGAGCCCTCCTTCAGGAAACGGCTCTGAACTTCCCAGACAAGAAGACACTTCTAGTCTTGGGCACCTGCTCCTGGATATGGTGCCAGACTCCTGACTTTGTGTGTGCTGTTTCCAACCTCCTCCCTGACTTGCCCACTCAGCACATCCAGATTGGGGTGTACCAGCCACCCCAGGCCAGCTTCTCCCCGTCCTGACTCCCTCTACAGTGACGGTGGCTGCAGTCACCCAGGCCAAGTGAGGTCAGCCCACGTCTCGCTCCTCTGGCCAGAGCCCCTCTATTGCTATGAGTTCTCGCTCCTTAACCTCAAATCCCTCTCCTCATCCCTCCAGGGCGCCTTGCTGCCTTAGATGCTTTCACCTGGCTTCCAGGGTCCCTCATGGCCTGTGTTCTGCCAAACCTTTTGTCCCCACACTGTCCCAGGGGATATCTGCAAGCTAAGCAGACCAGCATGAAGTTTTAGGGACTCTCCTTAATTCAATTCCAACTTTGTCTTGACCTTGAGGACCCAGCTTCAAAATTGGACTTGGTGGCACACACCTGCAACCCCAGCCACTGAGGAGGCCTGAGGAGGCTGTGGCAAGTTCAAGCCCTGATCTCAAAGTAAAATAAGGACCAGTCTTATAGCTCAGTGGTGGAGCACTTGTGTAGCATGCAGGAGGCCTAGCTTTAACCCCGAGTGCCACCAAAAAACAAAAACAACTCTTTTTCTGACAAGCATCTCTAATTTTTTTTGTTTTTGTCTTTGAGACAGGGTCTCGCTATGCAGTTCAGGCTGGCCTTGAGCTCACTTTGTAGCCCAGGCTGGTCTCCAACTCACAGCGATCCTCCTGCCTCAGCCTCCTGAGTGCTGGGATTACAGGTGTGCACCACCACGCCCCGCAGCATCTCTAAACTCTTAAGACTGTTCTTGGAGAGTCCTCCTGTAAAACTTCCATCATAGTTGCAACTGACGCTGGATTACAACTACCTGTTACTTGTGCCTTCTGTGCTATTCACTGGTTGTATCTGTATTTGCCATCTACAAGCAGAGATAGGGACGAGTTGTAGTGGAGTATGCCTACAACCCCAGCTACTCAGGAGGCTGAGGCAGGAGGATCGCAAACTCCAGCCCGGCCTATGGAACTTTGTGAGAACCTGTCTGAAAATAAACAATAAAAGCAGGGCTGGAGATGGACTCAGTGCCTCCTGGTTCGATCCCCAGTACTACAACCAGAACAAAAGCATGTTCTGAGGGCGAAGGAAAGTAATATACAGTATTTACATAACAAAGCACTTAAATCTTTAGCACGCTTCTCCACTGTACTGACCTCTGCTCGGGTCCTGCCTGGCTCACTCAGGCTCTGCAGAATGCAGTGCTACTTGCAGGGCCGTGCTGAGGCTACCAGGACATAACCCACGGCCCTGTGTGGGACGATGCGCGCTGGCTGCCTGCCCACTCATCGCGCCTGGAGACCACCCCAGCCTCCCTCCTCTCCCCAGCCACCTCACTCAAAGGCACGGGCGGGGGAGGATAATACTTTATTCACTAACACGGGCCAAAGAGGTGTAGCCAGGGAGGTGGGCACGGTTTCCAGGGACCCCAGGAGGCCACTCTTCTGCCTCCCAGGCCCGGAGCAGCCAAGCCTGACATCCCAGCCCAGGTGAGGGGGCGGGGGAGGAGCCATCGGGTGAACGCAACCAGGCTGATTCCCGATGCGCCCCTCTCCGGCCTCCCCAGCCTGACGCTCCCATCACCACCGCGGCTCAGCTGCCCTCGCACTCTGGGCAGCGCTCGGTGGCCGTGGCGCCCGCGGGCAGCTTGAAGTCCCGGCCGCAGCCCGCGCAGATATACAGGCGGCGCCGCATGTGCGCGCGGCGGTGGCGGATGAAGTGCGAGCTGAGCCGGAAGCGGCGGCCGCACTCCGTGCACGGGTAGGGCCGCTCGCCCGTGTGCGTGCGCGCGTGCTCCGCCAGGTTGGAGCGGTGGCCGAAGCGCCGGCCGCACACCGCGCAGCGGTGCGGCTTCTCGCCGGTGTGCACGCGCCGGTGCTTGGCCAGCGCCGAGCTCTGCGCGAAGCGCGTGCCACAGTCGGCGCACGCGTACGGCCGCTCGCCCGTGTGCGTGCGCGCGTGCTCCGCCAGGGCCGAGCTCTGCGCGAAGCGCGTGCCACAGTCGGCGCACGCGTACGGCCGCTCGCCCGTGTGCGTGCGTCGGTGGCGCGCCAGGCACGAGCTCCCGCCGAAGGCGCGGCCGCAGTCCGGGCACGCGTACGGCTTCTCGCCCGTGTGCACGCGCAGGTGCTGCGCGTAGTTGGAGCTCTGCGCGAAGCGCCGGCCGCAGTGCGCGCACGCGTACGGCTTCTCGCCCGTGTGACGCCGTCGGTGCTGCCGCAGGTTCGAGGCGGCGGAGAAGCGTTTGTCGCACTCGGGGCACTCGTAGGGCCGCTCGCCCGTGTGCGTGCGGCCGTGCTTGGTCAGCGCCGACTTCTGCGAGAAGCGCCGGCCGCACTCCGTGCACGCGAAGGGCCGCTCGCCCGTGTGCGTGCGCGCGTGCTTGGACAGCGTGGAGCGGCGCGCGAAGGCGCGGCCGCAGTCGGGGCACGCGTGGGGGCGCGCCGGGTCGGCGGACGACGCCGGCTTCTCGCCGGGGACCTGCAGGGAGAAGGGCGACACGTCAGCCCTGCCCGAGAGGCCAGAGACCCGGTCTCAACACGCCACATCCTTGAGCTTCCGTTTCCATCCGTGAAACAGGAAAGGCGGCATGCCTGCCTCAGGTCGGTTGTGCCGCTTACGTGGAATAATACAAGGAAGGTGCATAGCGAATGTCTCCTGGTATTCTACTTATATTCACCAAATACAGGGCACGTGCAAGGTTCAGCATTAACTAAAATACACTTTTAAAAATTCTGTCTTGCGGGACACGGTGGCGCACGCCTGTGATCCCAGCACTCGGGAGGCTGTGGCAGGAGGACTGCCGCAAGTTCAAGGCCAGCATGAACTGCATAGTAAAACCCAGTCTCAAAAAGAAAAAAAAAAAGAAAAGAAAACCACCAAACGACACACACACAGTAAAATTTTATCTTAAGGGGAAAAGGGTAAGGATTGGAAGATTGGAGGAATGCTGCACAGGTAAATAGGGTTGTCCAGGCACCTTACTGATAGGGTAACGGAAGGGGGACAGGTGGAGGGGACTGCTTAGCTTCAGGTGGGCCACAATAAAGCACTTTGGTTTGTAACATAACCGAGAAGGGACGCCATCAGGAGGATGTCTAAGGTTTTGAGCAGGTAAGGAACTAGTTCACTCATACTTAAAAGGCTCCCTAAGGCAAATGGGGTTGAGAAGCCGGTGCAGGAGGGGAGAGGGCAGAAGCAGGAGCTCAGTGAGGACTCTACCCTAGTTACCTGGCAAAAGGAGATCGTGGCTTAGATTCAGAAAATGGAAGAAGTGGCCTGGTCTGGTACCCTTATCTTCCAGTTTGAGACCACAGACTTCATACCAGCTTACAGGATATAAGGAAAGAGGGTAAGAATGACTAAGGCTTTTAGACTTAGCGACTGCAAAGCTGGCGAGCTGTTTATACAGAGGTGAGGATGGAGACAGGAGCATGTTGGAAAGTAACATCTGGGGCTGGGTCCCCAGTTCTTGACATATCTGGAGCTTAGGACAGAGGCCAGGGCTGCAGATGTTGAGAAACTGTCAGCCTTGAGATGGTTTTTAAAGCCTTCAGACTCGGGGAGAGCCCCAGGATAGGGCAGAGAGAACCTGGGACAGCAAGATGAGGTGCAGCCAGTGCAAGAAGAGCCAAGACCCTGTCCAGGCTCTTTAAAAACCTTCTCAGAGCCAGCTGTGGTGGCGCAAGCTTGTAATACCAATACGGGAGGCTGAGGCAGGGGGATCGGTTTGTGTTCTAGTCAGTTTGGGCCACATAGTGAGTTCAGGGCCAGCCTGAACTTCA